CGTTCGGCACGCCGCGATCCGGAGCCCCCAGCCCCATCTGAAGTGTATGGCCGGTCGTGTTTCTTGCCCAAATGAGGCCCAAGAGTATCTGAAAAAGGCGGAAGGGTGAGAGTTGGGGGGGAGACCTGCCCTAAATCCACGGGTGAACGCTGACCCTTTTTGCCACCCTGCCCCGTGTGCTGCTCCTGCCCGCAAAGGCCGGAGTGGGCAATGGGCAGGGCTGCTGCCTTCCTGGGGTCCCCACCTGGTGAGTGAGAAGATTGTCTCCCATCCCTTTGGGCACCTGTGTCTCTCCTTCTGGCTCAGCTGATGGGAGGTCTTTGGGCTGCAGCCGGCAGGAGGCGCGATTTTGTTCCCCTTGGAGGGCCCCCCCCCCCCCCCATCTCCTGCTACAAGCCAGGCTTTCTGGCTGGCCTCTCAGCTGCTTATCCCGGGGTCTGAGCTGAGGGTGGTGGTGGCTGAGATGAACAGCCAGACTGCGGCCAACTGGGGAGAAAAAGCCACCGTGTTCTTCTAGCTCTCTGTTTCCCTGAACATTTGCTACCCAAATGTGCTTCCATCTAATTTAAGCTGTGTTTTTTCTGTCTGCAGTTTGACTGGTTTGTTCTAGATAAAAACGCGGGAGCACTGAAGGTGTTCCTGGCACGAGGCATCTTTGTCATTCACCGCCTTCCTGACTGAAGCTCCCAGCAGCACAACCAGTCTGAGGGCACCGGGCAGCCATTCTTCCTGCTTCCTCTGGCTAGAAGAAAGGAGATGCTCTTGGTGAGATGAGGGGATTGCAGTCACCTGACGCCCCGAAACGTTGGAGAATGAGATGTCTGCAAAATGAATTTCTCACTACAAGTGCCTGGTATCTTGTGGACCTGGCTTCCGTGCTGCTGGTCTCACCCAAAGTCCCTTGTGTAGCCAATTGAGTGGCACAGGCTGACCGTTGAGCTGGCAGGGTTTATAAAGATCATCCTCTTTTTTTCTTTTAGCAACTTCGGACGGGGGTAGTTGAACCCATTCTTTTGGGTCACATCATCCTGTTTGATCAGCGCCATCAAAGCAGGTTGGACAGGTAGGTCAGTCAGGTGGGGCTGACTCATCCACCCCCTCTTAGGAATACCTTCCCTGGAGGCCTCTCTTCCTCCAGCCCACCCTTGGCACCACTGTTGCAGGATCCTCTTCCAGAGGTGCTCAGCTGCTCCCTAGGCTGATGCCTGCTTGGAGCGGGCAAAGTTCCTCCCCATCTTCACAGCCTCTTATCTAACCGTGATGCTGGACAGTGCACTCCTTTGTCTCTCATTGCTTCTTTGCAGACAGACACACAAGCATCGCAGTTAGAAAAGTGGCTGCGAGGATGGGGAGGAACTTTGCAAGAAATGCAAGAAATTACTGAAGGTAGCCACTTTTAGCAGGGGAGCCCCAGCATGTCCTCCCCTGCCCTGATACTCCCCAATGCTGCGGGTACAGTTTGCATTCCGAGTTCCTAATTGAGTGGGCGGGGGGAGCCTTAGCAGAAAGCAGCTTCACCTTATGAATGGAAGTTGGCCGCCAGCCACACAGCCAATACTCCTCCAGGGAGACAACATGAGCACCAGCAGGTACACCGAAATTTTCACCAGGTTTTTCTCCTACAAATCTGTTCTTCTGTATTTCCTAGAGGCGGCACCATGAACATCCAGCTAATTACAGCTCTGGGCAGATGACTTGCACTGTACTCTTGGGAAACACAGTCTTGCATAAGAGGCCAATGCACGACCTCCTGACTGTAGGTAAATAGGTTTGGTTCCGAGGATTTCCTCCGCCGTCACCTTCCTGCGGATAGCCTTAGACCTGGTTACCTCTGTCTCGCCTTCCTATTTTATCTGGCTCTGAAGTAGACCCATTTGAGTAAACAGGATTTGTTTTACAATGTCTCTGCAGCTTGCAACACAACAGGGGACTTCAGCAGCACAAGTCAGCAGATCAGATGGCGGGTTCTCTCTGCCCGTTCCAGATGGTATGCAGCATGTTCTCGCAGCTGCAGGAACAGGCATGAATGCAAACAGCCATTGTGGCAGCTGTGGGCCGGTGCTTCTCTTGCAGTTTTGTGGGGCGGGGCGGGGTGGGGGGGAATGATCCCATTTCCTATGCAGAGATCAGGAGGACGGCTCTGGCCCCCAGCCACTGCTACGTTTAATCTCAGCCTGAGGTAGCATTCCTAATAGCTGTTTCTTACTAAGATGTTGTCACCTGGCATTCAAGGAACTTGCAAAAATCTGGAGCTTCTGAACAGCACAGGGAAAACTCATCGGTGCATCACCCTGCTAGCTCACACTCCAGTTGCAATCCAGTAAAACACCTTTTCATGCGTGTCACCGACAAACCAGGATGTACTGTGGCTTCTCTGGATATGTTCCTCTGTCAAACTTTGTCTTCTGGGTCTCAGCTTGGGGACATTGACATACCTGATAATTCTGTAATCCCCTCACCCAAATGGTGTACAAGTATGCTTATTTTACTTTATTTATTTAAAAGTTTTACATGTCCGCCCATCTTAAAAACACAAGTCTGGGTGCCTCACAACAACAAAAAATCCAAACTATAAAAACCGTAAAATCGTAAAACACAACTGAAACCCGGCGCCGCGGTCATCCCCTTGGGACACCCCAACCACCAACCCGAGCTCATCGGAGGGAGATCCAGCCTGGAAATAAGGAGGAATTTCCTGACCGTGAGAACAGTGAAGCAGTGGAACAGAGTTGCGGGTGCTCCATCGCTGGAGGTCTTCAAGGAAAGATTGGACCACCATTTGTCCGAGATGGTCTGAGGACTCCTGCCTTGGGCAGGGGTTGGACTAGAAGACCTCCAAGGCCCCTTCCCACCCGAGGATCTTACACAACCCAGCGCATCTTACACCCTCGGTCTACCCCAGTGCCAGGTCTCAATGGCCTTCCGGAAGCCTGAAAGGGCGGGCGCCTACCAGATCGGCGGGGGGCGTCTTCCATGTTGAGCAGCATAGAGCTTAAGGCACAGCCCCACCTGTGGCACCCCACTCAAGCCTCCCTCCAGCCCCTCAGGGTGCCGCTAACAAACTCTGACTCACCACGTGGATTGAAGGAGGCTGTGTACCCACCAACGGCAGAATTGCTATTTGTTCTAGCTTAATTATTACAAACACTGGTGTTAGTTTCATTTTAACAGCCACACGCCTAAATGTAATTAGCAAATCATTTAGACCGGATACATTTTGCAATTATACATTTGGATATCATCAATATATTAGTCAACATTTCCAATTACAAATTGATTTTTGGTGTCTCATTTGACTATAACCACACAACTGCTGTAATAACTCACTTGGTTCATTGAGAAGACAACCTATAATTTCCCACACCCTTTGAACTTTCACCATTAGCCAGAAGATATTAAATAAAAGGATGATCCCACTCTGACTGTTTTATGTACCAACCCTTCCAATATGCAAAATATTTTTTTCAAAATGGTTTCTCATGCTGATCTCATTCCCTGTGGAAACCCAAATGATTCTGCGACATGTCAAATTTGCACCAGGCGCTATCAGACTGCTGAGAATGGAATTGGCAACGCTCCCCAGAAGGTGCCCACAGCAGGTCACGCCGTAACGTACCTTTCCTGTCTTGCACCAGAGCTCTTTGGGTCCTGCTGACCTTCCACATTTTGACTGACAACAGTAAGATGACACCTTTAGACTCTACACTGGCAACTTCTATACGCTGAAGTAGCAGCCACAAATATGGAAATTGGAGCAGAAAGATTTTCAAGGTTATTTATTACTGTGACATTCCTCCACTTAAATGGGAGATATATTCTAAAAATGAAAACATTAAAAAATAACACACACATACCCCATTGGGATTCAGAATAGATTAATATAATCCAGATACAATCTTAAAGCAATCTTAAAACGATCCAGATCAACCGCATAAAAGCTCCTCCGTTTCGGCTTCCCTCAAAGCAGCCGCATCTTCCCAGACCAAGGTGTTGGTCTCCAGCCCCGTCTCCGTGGGAAAGTAGCCAGCGGGCGGCCACAGCCGCCCCTCAGCCATGGAACGCCCGTCCAGGAGGGGGCCACGTATTCAAGAGCCTTTCGGTGGGAATTGGGCTTAAAAGCATCACGCAGGTGCCAGAACAAACAGCTCCTTGTGCTCGCAGAACGTCGCCTCAGACTCTGACGCTTCTTGTCCAACTTTGCTTCTGTTCAGACTCTTTTGCTGGCTCTACTGACTGCCTCCCTGGAGAGGTGGACTCTCCGAGTCTCAGAGCGAAAGCTGAAAGTGGCCTTTTCAGAGAGAATTTCGGGAGGGGAAGAGATTTGGGGCTGGGTGAAGGAAAATGGGTGAATGTGAGAAGCCTTCCCTCCTTTCTGAGTCAGACTGAACCAGCTCAGAGTTCTGGTTCTTTGGGTCCCCCTCATTTGGCCCAGCACACGCTGGGTGCGCAGCGCATGAAACATGACAGAAGGCAGGTCAGCCAGTCCCCCTCCCGGCCTCCCTGGGTTTCGGAGGGAAACAAATTCAGGATCTCTGGCACATGCAACCAGGCGATCTAACGAGTACAACGTAACTCCTAGGGAAGATGAGCAGCTTCTACCTCCAACCTTACCAAGAAAATAAGGACACACAGCCAGCTCCCAAGCAGATCCCTGCCCATACAATTTCTAATTCACAGCCATGCACATCTGCTACAGATGTGCTTGGGTGCACATTTCCAGCTGCAGTGAGCACTGTGCCCTCTGTCCTTTGCAGTTTGTGAATTTGGCAAGGGGTCCTTCCCTGGCTCAGAAAATATATCTTCACGGAGGTTCTTCAAAGATAAAGACCCCTCTAGGAAAAGTGGCAGCAGGACAATTGGGAAGAGGATGGGGGAGCTCACTTTACCTTAAGCTTCACTGCAAGGAGGAAGCAGCCGGTCCAGTTCCTCGAACGCAGCTCTGGGTTCCCTGGCCCTCCACAACAGCAGGATTAGCACAGCGGGTAAAGGAAGAGCAGGACCACACCAGTGGGAGTAACCTTAGAACCGAGGGTGTCATTGAGCGCATACGCTCCCAAGGACAGCTTGTCTAGCACGTTGTAGATCCTATAGCCTGCTTTGCAGTCTGAGATACCCAGAAGCCTCAGCGTTGTGGCAAATGACTGTGGGGCCCCATCAGTGCTGTTGTTCAGAACAGCGATGGCATACTGGCCGTGGACAAGGGGCCTCTTCCACACTTCAAAGTTCTGCTTCTGTTTGAGAGACAAGCAGAGCAGTGACTGGGCTAGCTCATGCCACAGAAGCCCTTCTTTTTCACCTCCGCTTGCTCAAAGCGACAGGCTTTTCTTTTGAACAGAAAAAGACTTACTTAGAAAGCCTTTTTCCTCCTGCATTCGTTCTGGAAAAATCTGTAAACGTTATTTAATACCCTTCATTCTCTGCTGTGTAGATCAAGCCTCAATTCAGGGCCACGCAGGTCTGCTGAACCCAGCTCACGCCCCACAGCCCGCGTGGCCGTCCCTCCGGGTCTGCAGCCCAACACCTCTGCAAGGCACCGGCCAGCCGCAAGACCTATCAGCGTCTTTGTCTTGTATGCTGGTTTTAAAAACTTGCGTGCTCACTTACCTGGATGGAAACCCAACTGAGCTCGACAGCAGTTGTGACACAGGCCTTGGAGACAGCAGGAATTATTCTGCTAGCTGCTGAAGGGGAGAGGGGGGCAGCTTCTGTCCCCTGGCTGCCTGGAAGGGTGGCACCTGCATGGGCGGACGCAGCATGCGGGGCCATTGGCCCCACCCGGCAAAGCGCTTCGGGTGCCCTAAGAGCAGTCCTAGCCACTTCCCGCCAACCCTTTCAGACCACTCCTTCTGGGTACCGCTTCCCAACTCTTTCCCCGGTTTGCTGCTGCCAAGAGGGCCACAGCCTGCCTGGACTGGCACAACCCCCGGCAGGCGATGGGGCGGTTGGCTCCTTCTCAGCAGCCAGCCTGGCTCGGCCTAGCTGGGGGTGGTAGAGAGAGGCAGCCACCTGCCCAAGCGGCAGCACCGGACTTGGCACAAGGTCACCTTCCTGCTCCCCTGTGCCAGCAGCTGGATGGGCTTTGCCAAGATTGCTGGCAGGCATTCAGCTCTTCCTGCTGAGGCGAGTGTCCCACGCAGAGGGGCCTGTTCAAAGCCTGGCAAGGGCTTCCTGGCGAGTGGGTCTCTGGGGAGGAGGGCCCTGCCATTAGAGCCGAATGACTGCAGGCTGCACAAGTAGGTAATCTGCCCAGTTAAGGGCAAAGAGGGCAAAGCCTTGAGAGGCTGCTCGGCTTGTCAAGAAACCGGCCTCTGACAGGAACGGCAGGCAGCCAAGGGTCAGGAGGAGGCGCCAGGGGGCTGCAGCTCCCTCTCAGCGAACAGACTCGGGCAGGCTCTACAAGAAACGGGATTCTGCCACCAAGTAAGATGCCCTGTGGCAGCCATAGCAAGCCCAGGGTCGGTGGCCTCTCCCTTCCTGGTTTCTGTTCTGCCGGACACCAAGAAAGCTTACCTTCTGCCTCCTCTGCCGGCCCATTTTGGGCAGAGAGTGCCTGCCCAGGAGCCCGGGAACTCTTCTGCTATGAACCAGCTGGGCCGCTTCCTGACCTTCTGCAGAGAGACCCCCCTCCCCCTGAAACTGCCGGTGGGCGCAACGACCCTCTGTTTCAGGCTGGCCAGCCCGTATCCGCTCGGCCAGAGGCTCTCCAGCTGGGGCCCATCTCTGCCTGCAGACCGAACCCTGTTCGATCCCCGGCAGCATCTGCACCTCGAGGACTTGCAAGAGTGGTTGCCGCCCAGTGGCCAAAGCGCCAGGAGCAAGAGGACAAAAAGGCAGCTGTTTGTTTTTCCCAGGCCACAGCACATCCCTGCTCTGGTGGAAAGATTCCCAACACACACCCTGGCCACCAGTCTGCCTTGAATTCCCCTCAGATCCTGGTTTATGTAGATCAGGAGCGGATTCTGCAACATGTCCTTGGCCTCATGCGAGATGTTCCTCAGGTTGCAGGAGATGAAGAAGGGGGCTGCCAGGATCGCCCACAGCGCCGCCTGCACCTTCGACTGTTCGTGACTCAGGCCAAAGTCACTGACGATCACCTGGAACGAGACGAGATGTCAGGCGGCCTGACCCAGCCCACCGGGAAGGAGGGCAGCCCAGAAGGAGCTCAGCTTCGGAGCCGGGCCCGGCATACCGGGAAAGCTGAGCTGCTTCGGAACTGCGGACTTGGGCGCTGAGGTGTTGCTGCTTGTTCTTGAAATCAAAATAATACTCGTTTCACGAAGGATGGATGTAACCACCCAAATTCCTGCAAGAAACTTTGTTGGAGAGGCCACCTCCCAGAAGACCACAAATCTGCTGCGTTCAGGGCTCCTGAGGATAATAACCAGCTCTGAGCGAGAGCCTCAGTTTAGCACAGCTACAGGCTAAGGGAGAGACCATGCTGCTGGTGGGATCCACGTTGTGTGAAAAGGGTCAGGGTCTGCACAAATTTCAAAAGCTTTGGCCCTAGTGGGCAGAAAGCTGGACAGAGGAAGTTGACAAGGGAGTGTTGCTGGTGGTCCTGAAGGTGACGGATTTGTCTCAAGAGATGTCCAACCCAACCCGCTCCCTTCTTCCTCACTAATGTCCATTTTCTGTTCTAACTGCACATTTCCCAGCATATCTTTGCGTATTTTCCCCTTGCCTTCCCTGCCAACTGATGCCTCTCTGGTCTTCATGCTTCCCTGAGGAGCTCCCATCACGCATCCAACTCTTTGGGGACTGGAAAGTGGATATGGGAGAGGAATCTCACCATGTCAGGGTCATTCCACCTTCCTGGCCCTGAAGCAGGCTGCAGGATGTCTTGATGATCTCCGTACCATTCAATGATGTGGAAGAGGCTGTCCCAAGTATCTTCAATATCAGCATAATTTCTCCACAAGTTGCATATTTGGCCCAGTAAAGTGTAATTCACCTTAATTAAAACAAGAAGATTTATGCTTCTGAAACAGAAGACGTCCCTACCATGTATCGGGGAGAAGCAATTATGACTGCCTGCTATCTTCAAAATCACTTATGGGACCAAAGGAAAACAGAAAGCATTGCCATAGCTGATGGACAATGTGTGTTCTCAGAAGGAGTGAGGGAAGGCTGCCTTCACTGCCCTGCCTCAAACAGTCACCAGAAAGAGACAGATCAAAAATGTGGCAGAAGCACCAGCTGCTTCTCCCACCCTTGCTGCCATCCTGAAGGTGGAAAGAGGGCTTGAGGCTGGGGGCCACTTTGGTGGGAAGGGTGGGAGGCCGGCCTTTGCTCGTGACCACATGCCATTGTCTCCCTTAACGAACTGCTGCCCAGGGTTTTATCCTATGCAGGAATCACGTTCATAAAAACTTCTTTTCTTCTTTTGATGGCCTTGAAGGGGTTAGGGTTAGGGTTGGAAAAGGCGTGAAACGGGTGCTGAGATTACCTTTGGTGGAAGACCCCCTTCGTAAGCCGGCCAACTGCAAGAGAAGGCGATTGGCCGTCCAGTTTTGTTCAGCGCTCTGCTCATTTTGGGGTAGCCTGAAAAACACAAAGAGGTCATTGCAAGAGACTTTGTAAGCTGCACAGGCAGCGGCTGGCTACGTTACTTCAAGTCCCCTGGGGATCCCCAGGGCCCACCGGCCTCTGCCGCTTGCACAGGAGGATGTCTTGGAAGCAGAGCCCCCAGCACGCGCCTACCTTTTGCACTGAAGGACCCTAAAGGGAGTTTGAGAACACCAACCTTAACTGGCCCACCCTCACCGACATTCAGTTTCTGTCTTTACCAACTTCCGCTGGAAGTGAAATAATCCTGAAGTGGAACTGGCTGAAGTGGAACCGCCTTGCCTGGGGGTGTCCACAGCAAACTGAGATGTTGCCATAATGAGGGCGTGGGTGCCACAACGGCCCCGTGCAAACTCTGCCACTCCCTTGACGGGCGAGGCAGGCAAGGAAGTGGTGGGAGCGTTTGGGATGACGTTGTTTGCTCTTTTCCACCCTGACCCGCCGGCCCCTGTGCGCTCCCATGACCAACTGTTCTGCCACGGAAGAGCCCAGACCTATCGCCTTGAGGGAGGAGTTGGAGAAGCAGCCGTCCAGCTTCAGCATGTCGACCCCCCACTCCGCAAAGGTTTTTGCGTCCGTCTCAACAGCATCCAGCGTCGTCCCAGGATAACCTGCACAGGTGGCGTTGCCCAAGTCACTGTAGATGCCAAATTTCAAGCCTTTGGAATGAACCTGGACAAGGAGAAAGAGGGGCCGGAGACACCCAGTGCAATTCTGCAAAGTGGGGCAATTCCTAGCAAATCCACTGGAGCAGATGAGTCCCAGAGGGGCCCGGCTGGCAGCCCGAGCTGGAGCAAGGCAGCTGGACTGCGAAACTCTCCCTAGATGAACACACATTCTGAGGCCTGGGCTATGTTATATTTTCAAATGGCCTGTAATAACATTGATGTAATACAGCGTGCACTATTGGGTTAGAAACGGTAACTTAGTTTTTCTATTTATGTGCAGCCTTGTTCAAGTAATGGCACATAAAACGCTAACGGGCGCTTGGTATTCCATACTCTTTGCCTAAAGTTGCCTCTGAATGTCGCTAACTGTAAGTAATCGAAACACTTTTGGCGATAACGCAGCTTTAGGGGAAGGTGCTTCAGTGAACTTACATAATCAGCCAGGATTTTAATCCCACTGGGAAACCGCCGGGGATCTGCCTGGAGTTTCCCTCGGGCGTCCCGCTTTCCGGCTGCCCAGCAGTCATCCAGCGTGATGTACTCGTAGCCGAGTTTCTTCCATCCGTCCCCGGCCAGTCTGTCCGCCATGGCCTTGATCAGGTGTTCGCTGTTGATAATTAAAGCTGGATTTGATCTCACGTGGAGCCCTCCTTTAAATCGCAGGATGCAGCGGCTCTAGCCCAGGGATGGCGAGCCTGGGACACGCGTGTCCGAGGTGACACGCCAGCGTTCACCAGCACCCGACAACGAGTATTCCCCCTGCCCGGGAAGAATACCACAGAAACTGAATTTGCTTTCCTCGCGTTCCGTTCTCGTAACTGTTTGACGCCTCTTTGTATACTGGGGGCGCCACGCAGTTACCTCTTTTAAACACCGAGCGTACAAAGATTGGTTTCTCCTGGGGGGGGGGCGGGGGGGCGGGCAAGTCAGGCCTTTT